AGTTGTTTTACCATTGACAGATCTGGCGTTCAACAGCACCACTTTCAATCCCGAGGGACCGCCAACCTGGTTGTTGCTATTATTAAGTAGAACAGGATGGCCACCTGTCGGGAGGGCTTGGACGTGTGTTCCTGTCTGGCAGAATTAGGGTTAGACTGGATGGCCATTGGAGTCCCTTCCAATTCTAGGTTTCCATTATTGTTGTTGTTGTTGGGGAAAGGACATTGGACCCGGCCCTGGTCTCTCTAGGTAAGGTAAGGTAAAAATTTATAGAACTTTATTACGCTCCATGGACCCACAACTGTTAAATAAATAATAAACATACAGGAGTTTACAGGTGAGCTAAAGGTTTTCTCCTGACGTTAAGTCCAGTCGTGTCCGGCTCTGGGGGTTGGCACTCATCTCCATTTCTAAGCCGAAGAGCTGGATACTGCTTTGATAGTCTTGGATTTGAAATCAAATCTGATGTTTTTATTATTTTTTTTATTTGGTGTGCGATGGAAGAGGGGTGGTCTTATATGGCAAGTATATACCAAACTCTATATTTTAACTGGAAAAGTTGGGGGTCGTCTTATACGCCCAGTCGTCTTATATGCCGGAATATACGGTACATGAAATTCATGTTAAGTCTTGAGTCCCATCTCCAATGAATCACATTATGTACATATCTGCAAATGCAGGTATTCCAAAACCACAAACATTCTTTTATTTATCAACTAGCTTGGGGACCCGGCGCTGCCCGGGTTATTAGAGAAAGTGGGTAATAGTCTGTATGCCAAATTTGGTCTTTATTGGTCATTGGATAACGGCTGCATTGTTTTCAGGAAGTGAGTGAAGGAATTGAAGTCCCATCATCCATGGTCCACCCTCCTCCAAACAGCAGCAGGATATAGAGTGGGTCATGGGGGCTCTGTGTGCCAAATTTGGTCTTTATCAGTCATTGGATGAGGGTCGCAGTGGTTTCAGTAAGTGAGTGAAGGTACTGCAAGTCCCATCATCCATCTCCAAATTTTTCCAAACGACACCAGGACATAAAGTGGGTCATGAGAGGTCTATGTGCCAAGTTTGGTCTTGATCAGTCATTGGATGAAGTTTGCAGAGGTCTCAGAATGTGAGTGAAGGTACTGAAAGTCCCATCATCCATGGTCAATCCTCCTCCAAAACTGCAGCAATATGTAGAGTAGGTCATGGGGGCTCTGTGTGCCAAGTTTGGTCTTGATTGGTCATTAGATGAGGGTTGCAGCAGTTTTGGGGAGTGGAGGTACTTGAAGTCCCATCATCCATGGTCCGTCGTCCTCGAAAGTGCACCAGGATGTAGAGTGGGTTATGGGGGCTTTGTGTGCCAATTTGGCCTTGATTGGTCATTGGATGAGGGTCGCAGTGGTTTCAGTAAGTGAGTAAAGATACTGCAAATCCCATCATCCATGGTCCATCCCCCTTAGAACTGCATCAGGATGTAGAGTGGGCCATGAGTACTCTGTGTGCCAAGTTTGGGCCTGGTCTGTGATTTGTAGGGGCTACAATGTTCTGTGGGAAGTGAATCAGGTGAAGGTACTGCAAATCCCATCATTAGTGGCCCATCCTGCCCTGAACTGCACTGGAAGTCCCATCATCCATTGTCCGTCCTTCTCCAAACAGCATCGGGATGTAGAGTGGGTCAAGGTGGCTCTGTGTGCCAAGTTTGGTCTTTGATCGGACATTAGATGAGGGTTGCAGCAGTCTTGGGAAGAGAGTGGAGGTACTTGAAGTCCTATCATCCATGGTCTGTCCTCCTCGAAAGTACACCAGGATGTAGAGTGGGTCATGGGGACTCTCTGTGCCAAGTTTGGTCTTGATCAGTCATTGGCAAGGGTCTCAGTGGTCTCAGGAAGTGAGTGAAGTGACTGCAAGTCCCATCATCCATTGTCAAATTCTTCCAAACCGCACCAGGATGTAGAGTGGGTTATGTGGGCTCTCTGTGTAAATTGTGGTCCTGATCCATCATTGTTGGCAGTTACAATGGTTTTAGGAAGGGAGTGCTGGTATTGCAAGTCCCATCGTCCATGGTGCATCCTCCTCCAAGCCGCACCAGGATGTAGAGTGCGTCATGGAGACTCAGTGTGCCAAGTTTGGTCTTTATCGGTAATTGGATGAGGGTTGCAGTGGTCTCAAGAATTGAGCAATGGTACTGCAAGTCCCATAATCCATGGTCCATCCCCGGCCAAACCACACCAGGACGTAAAGTGGGTCATGAGAGGTCTATGTGCCAAGTTTGGTTCTGATCAGTCATTGGATGAGGTTAACAGCGGTCTCAGAATGAGTGATGGTACTGCAAGTCCCATCATCCATGGTTCATCCTCCTCCAAACTGCAGTAGGATGTAGAGTGGGTCATGGGGGCTCTGTGTGCCAAGTTTGGTCTGTATTGGTAATTTTCTGACACAGCCCCTGGCCTTTTCCTTTCCTCTCTTTGTCATCTCGGAATCTTGGAATTGAGGCTGGCCAATCAGAGACCATATGCAAATTTCCTTCTCATGTCCCCGTTTCTGTCATGAACTCTTTTCTCCACCAGGGGCTCCTATTGAAGCTGGCCAATCAGAGACCATATGCAAATAGCACCACTGCAGCAGCCAATCAGAACGCTGGCACATACTCCTCCCGCCACACTTTTGTCCTCCGCATACAAGTTTTGACTTTTATTATATACATAGATTGCATTTATATACTACTTTTCTCACCCCTAGGCGGTTTCAAAAACATTATACACTCACACACACACACACATACATACATACATATGCAAGCATGCATGTAGGTTGGTTGGTACCCCAAAGGCTCCTACATGGCTTGATGGATCTGGACCAAACTTGACACATATTTCCTTTATTATCCAACTTAAAATACCTGCCAGTTTTCAAATAAAAAAGCCTATCTCAGAGGGAGAGGTAACAATGACAGAGTGCTAGAGCACTATCAGCCACTCAGAGGGCCAGGGAGGCCTTTTCAAAAGGCCAGGCAAATGGCAGTGTGGTGGGGAAGGGAGAGAAAGTAAGAAAGGTATATGAGAGTTGGAAGGGAGGAAAGAGACAAAAAAGAGAGAAGAAATGGGGGGAGGGAGAGAAGAAAGAAAACAGAATGATATGAGAGGAAGGAAGGGGGGAAATAAAGGGAAAGGGGGTGAGGTAAAAGGGAAGAAGGTGAAAGGAAAGCAGAGAACAGAAAGAAAGAAAAGTGAGGGAAAGCAAAGGAAGGAAGGAAAGAAAAGAGGGAGTTGCTGTATGAGGGGAATGGATGAAGGAAAGAAACGGCCACAAGAAAATGCAAAGCCCGGTGTTCGCCCTAGTACTTTCATCTTAATTTCATCAAAAGCAGATTTTAAAAGTATTTATCAAAAGTATCAAAAACCATATAAAACATTTTAAAACGTACACGTGTTTAAAATGACCCACAAAAACCCAAAATCCCAAACACTACTAGGCCCCCACCTACACAGCATTCTGTGGACTGTGTAGCTGGGGTTCTGGTCCCAAGGATTTCGGATATGGAAGGATAAGGAAACCTAGGCCCCTGCCATACAGCTCTACAAAAGCCACATTGAACTAGATTTAATTTAATTTAATTTAATTGTTTGTTTGTGGCATTTCTATTCCATCCTTCTCACCTCCGAAGAGGGACTTGAGACAGCATACAGCAAGCAGTCATTAGATGCCAAAAAATAATACATTAAAACAAAGTTACAATTAATACAATTAAAACAGTTATAAGCATTCAATTAAAAACTGTGTGGACTCAGATAATCCAGTTCAAAGAAGATATTGTGGATTATCTGCCTTGATATTCTGGGTTATATAGTTGTGTGGAAGGGCCCATAGTCTTTGAAGGCAAGTGGGGTTTATATAAGTGTGGAATGTCCAGGAATGTCCCAACAAAGTATCCCCCTGGCAGGATGCAGCCAGGCTACTCAGTGCTAATCAAGGTTGCCAATTGCAACATTCACACTTACCTCAAGCAGACGAGATCTTTCTCCCACCCTGGACATTCCACAGATATATAAACCTCACTTGCCTAGTTTCCAACAGACCTCAACACCTCCGAGGATGCCTGCCAAAGAGGTGGACAAAACGTCAGAAGAGAATGCTTCTGGAACATGGCCACACAGCCCGGAAAACTCACAGAAACCCAGTGATTCCCTAAGATACAAAGACTACGTTTCCCAGAAGCACTCTGTCCCGGAGGGGAGACTACATCTCCCGGCGTACCCTGCGGAGGGCGGGCGGAGGGTCCTGTCGCCGTGCGGTTCTTTCCGCCTTTGGCGGCAGAGTAGTGCGGGTTGTCTCCCGGGCCCCTTGGCATGGCGACGGGCGGGGAAGGCCGCGTCCAATCGCCCTTGGCCAGCCCGCTCTCGGAGCCGGAGGGCCATCCCAGCCCGGGTCCCCCGCCTCTGGCGCCGCTGCCCCGCCTGGAGAAGCCGCTGCGGCAGGCCTTCTACAACACGGGGGCGCTGGTGCTGGCGGGGTTGTGCTGCGGTGCCGCCGTGCTGGTCTACTTCATCCTGGAGGCTTTCCTGCGCCCGCTGCTGTGGGCCGTGCTCTGCGGCACCTTCCTGCACCCCTTCAAGAGCTCGCTGACGGGCCTGGGCCGCGGGTGGCTGCGCCGCCTCCGCCGCGCCGGCGCCCCGCCGCTGCTCCTGGCCGCCCTCCTCCTCCCGCTCAGTTGCTTCAATACCGCCGCCGAGGCCCTGGGCCGGCAGGCGCTGCGCCGGCGGAGGGCCCTGCTGCTGCTGAGCGCCGGCGGGCCCGCCCTCTACGCCCTCGCCGCCTTCGGCGCCTCCCTCGCCGCCCGTGCCGCTCTCGCCCAGGCCTCCCGCCTCATCGGACGCGGCCTCGAGTGCTTCAGCAGCCCCTGGGTGAGTGAGTGAGTGAGCGAGCGAGCGGCCGAGACGGCGGGCGGACATGGAACGCCCCGGCTGGTGGGCTGGGTTACCCAGAGAGGGTGCGTCAGACCACAGGAAGCAGGGTAGCAAACAGCCCCTCATCACACTCAAGCAGAGCCCGCAAACATTTCGTCTTGGTGACACACCATAGTGCACGCATGGGCACACTTGCTCCCTCCGGGTGTTTTGGACTTCACTTCCCACAATTCAGAAAGGCCGGCTGTTAGGAATTGTGAGAGTTGAAGTCATCATTATTATGGTCCAAAGACCCAATTTGCTCAGCAGGGAAAGTGCACAGCAGATTCAAAAACAGCTAAGACCTCTTAAAAACAGGAGTGCAACGCTACATGCTGGGCATGGGCAATAAAAAAATGCTTCCAAACTGTGTTCAAAAGTAAGGGGCGCTGGTGATTCGATTTGATTCTAAAGTCACTTCCAAATTTTTTTGAAAAAATTTCAGAACTTTCCAAATCTTCCAAATCGATTTATTAATGGCGGAAGCACGCACGATACCGAAAAACAGTACTGACACTGGGGAAACTTCAGAGGCCGCTCTTTCCCTCATTTTTTGAGCTATCCTGATGAAACTTGCTACAGGTAGCAGATGACACCCTCCACTGTTAGCATACCCAATTTCAAAATGTTCAGATGATCCACCAATTTTAAAGAAATTTTTGAAGGAATTTTGGAAATAATTAAAAAAACAAAATAGCTACCTCCTTGATTTTTGACATAAGGTAATAGGAAAAAAGAGGTTCAGTAAGACGAATTGGATATGTTATAAAACGCAAGCAACAAACCAAGGCAAAAGGCAGGCTGTTTGAACCCCAAGAAAAAAACCCAGCACTCTTTCTCTCTTCTCACACTTTATTAATTTTTCTCTCTCCCCCTTCCTCCAAAACCTCTTCAATCTTCTTTCTTCCGCTTTCTCTCCCTAAAACTTTTCTTCCTTCTCCCTTCTCCTCTCCAAACCCCCAGTGGCTGGGTTACAATGCCTATTGCCTCCCCTTCCATCCAGCCAGCTAGCAGCAGCGAAAACAACCAATCACCCTTGTCCCTTCCCTGTCCTGCAGTGAGCCAGCAAGCAATGTGCTTGGGCTTTTAAGTAGCAATGGCTCCCAGACGCTGATAAGCCCTCCCCTTTTAAAAACATAAGCCCTGGTTTGCTAGGAGGGAAGCACTTTAGGCTTATCTAAAAGGCTGTCTCATACTTCCAAATCGACTTCCAAGCCATTGAAATCAGTGGCCTGGACCGCTTCGAAACTACTGGGGACTTCTGACTCGCCATTGCACTTTGGAACTTAGTTCAGAAGTGTGAAACTTCCAACTTTAGTTTCGACATCCACAACTTCTGAAGGAACGTGCCCATGCCTACTAAATCCATATGAACAATGGTAAAAACACTGCAAATATATACAAGGCAAGTTTCAACCTGGGTGTAATACAGGAAATGGTCGTATCCTGGCTACCTCAGAGAGAAACTTGGCAGCAGCCAAGGTCACCTGGGGAAAATTGTCACCTGGTGAAAACTTTACATGGAATCGGACTGATCTTGCAATAGATTGTTCAATAATAATAATAATAAATCTTTATTTATATCCTGCTTTTCTCCTTAACGGGACCCAAGGTGGCTCACAACATCTATATCTATGTATATAATAAAGGTGAAAGTTTGTATGCGGCGGACAAAAGTGTGGCGGTGCGACGGGAG